TCATTTTCCATACGATGAAGCGAATAATTTCCCTTGCTAATAGAATGAATTCTAAAAAACAAACTTCAAAATAAATATAGTTTATTTTAAAATAAATAAAAAATATTTCGATCCGATTACTTACTATTCTTAGACACTGATTGGGTTCTTGAAAGCTTTGATATTATATATAGAAATTAAAAATCAATTATTGGGATTTGAATCAAAAGCAAATTTTTTGGAGTATTAATTTTATTATAATATTGTAAAATGGAATGTGAGTTTTAATAAGCGACATGGCATTGCATACCAATTGTAATTAATTTCAATTTCGAAAAAATGGAATTTGTTAAATAAATTAGTAATATTAACAAAAAGGAAATTGTAATCGGGAAATACCTGAAACCATTGCAATGATCCCCTAAAAAAAATAGAACGCTAAATTTTTCTTATATGTTAGGAAGGTGTTATTACCTTGACGTAATTTTTTATTTTCCAATGTGTAAATTCCTACCACATAACAGAGAAGAATACGAGTGAATAATATATATTACTATATTATTATAATTTTGGGAAACTTGGCAGAGTAATATTATACTGAATAGGACAGTGTACTTTAGGCAATATTTTTACTACTACGCTAAATCATAAAAAAAATTATATTATTTGTGTCAGTTTTATAATTTGATCTACGTATAAAATTAAATCTGGAATTATAGCTAGACCGCATTTTAAGGCAGTAGGGGGCAATTAAATTATTAGTATTTAAATATTTTATATCATAGAGTAAAAAATAATTTTCATTAGCAATATCCTATAATTATTAATACATCTTTGCGTACAATTACTGGAGAGCTATAAAATTTGCTTTTTACTTGCATGAAGTGAAACATTTAAAAAACAATAGACAGAATATTTATTATACAAATGTTTTGCGCTAATTCTCGCATTTTATAATTATTAAAAAAAAGTGCAAAATAACTCATATATAAATTAAAAATTTTCTTTTAAATCCTTGTTCTATTTTAAAATAAAATTCCACATCTTTTTGATTACAACTTTATGAATTAAAAAATTTTTATTATAACATTTTAATTTTTTTTTTCTCATTTTTACAATTTCAGTTACCATATGAAAATGGAATATGATGCATAACGAATTCATTGAATTGCAATTTTCAAATATTAAAATATTACAAATGCTGATAAAATACTAACAAAATCTTTTATATACACCCAGATAAAAAATTATTGTCTATTGGAAAGATAATAAAAAGCCTCATCAAAAACATATTTAATTTATAAATAATCAAAATTCATAAAAAATTAAAAAAATTATAATAAAAATCTTTAATAGTAATTTTAATATAAAATATAATGAAAAAATATCAAAAAGCCGACAATCGAAAAACGACATCAGTAAAAATGAAAAATTATTTGAATTATATAAAGGGAAAGAAAAAATTACCAAAAGAAATTTTACAAATGTTAAATTACAGCCTATATCATCAGATCATCAAAAAGGATTCATTAAAACTATACAGAGAGAAAAACAAAAAAGAATGCAAAAATATTTGTATACAAAGAAATTCTTTAATAAATCAAAATCAAAATTTAATAATAATGAATACAATAAAAAATTCTTTAATAATATCACCAAATTTATACCGTCATCATTACCACCAAATATATTATTACCGTCGTCATCGCCACCGCAAACAGTATCACGACAATTATTACCATCAAAAAGATCGTCACAATCGACATTATCATCATCAAGAGTACATCAACATTTATTACAGTCCTTATATATTAAAAAGAAGGCTATTAAAAAAAAATTACAATATATTAAATTTAATAAAATCCTAGTCTTAACTAATAAAACTTTAACGAAATTTAACGAATCGTTAAATATCTATTTAAAATTAATTTATTTAATAATAATACGGCCATTATTATTTAGTTATTCGAAAAATATTCAATTTTTAGATAGCAACAGTTTTATAGATTATAAATATAAATCAAATCATTATTATTATCATTATCATCAACAATATTATCACCTTTACCATCATCCTAAATATTATAATATTAAAGTTTCTAATCAAAATTTAAATTTAATAAATAAAAATAGTAAAAATAGTAAAAATAAAAAATATAATACTACTATTAATCAAGTGGATAATAAAAATAATATTGGTGATAATATTAATAATAAAAAATATTATAAAATTATAAAAAGAATTAATAAGAAAAAATATATAAGAAACTTTATAAAAATTTCAATTATAACTATTCTTAAAACAACCATTAATAGACCATTTACATGTAAAAAAATAAAATTCTTAAGAAATAATTGTATTAAATCATTTATTAAAATTTCAATAATATTACTATTACTATTAAAAAAATTAAATAAATTTATAATAAATGTGAATAATTTTAATAAAATAATTATTAATAATATTAAAAATTTTTTATATATTTTTCATAATAAAAATTTTATATCAAAATATTTTTTATCTACGTTATTTATTAATTATATTTCTAATAACAAAATAATTAAATATTTTATAATTAAATCATTTCTAATATTAAATAATTATAATTATTATATTCTTTTTAAATATATTAAATTTTCTATTTATTATATTAATATGTTAATAATTTCTAAATTGAAAATTTATATTAATTTTATTATTAAATACTTTTATATTATTTTAAATTTAAATAATGTGTTTACTAATAAAATCAAATCAATTTTTTTTAATATATTCATTAATAAATTTAGTATTAATAATAATATAGATAATAAAAATGAAATTATTAATAAAAATAATAATATAAATAATGACAATGGAATTGATAGTTATATAAATTTTAATATTAATTTAAATAATAATAATAATAATTATAATACATACCTTAATAAAAGAATTATTAAATTATGGTATAAAGAAAATAATTTTATAAAAAATCATAAAAATTTTATAAAACTATATAAGAAACGAACTAAATATAATAATAATAATAATAATTGTAAAAATGTATTTAATTATAATATTGTAGAAAAATTTAGAAAAAATAATAAATTAATAATTTCAATAATAAAAAGTATAAATTGCTCAATAAAAATTATTATATTAGATTATAATAAAGTTTCATTCAAAAAATATTATATTGAAAATTTTCTTCAACAATTTTCTACAAAATTCATTCAACAACAATTAAATCATAAAAATATTATAATATTTACTGGTTTCAAATACTATATAAATAACTATAAAAAATTAAATCCGAATATACAAATTTTCAAAAAAATCATGATCATTATTAAAGATCAAAATGAAATATTCAATGAATTCAAAAAAAATCTAACATTTCTTCATAGAAAAAATCAAAAACAATATAAAATAATAATAAAAATAAAATTATTAAAATATATAAAGACTGAATTGAGCACAATTTACATAAAAATAATTAATAAAAAACAAATTGAAATAATTAAAATTAATAATTTTAAAATAATATTTCAAAAAAATAATATATTCAAATTACAAAATCAATATTATAATCAACAATCTCTCAACAACAACAACAACAACATTAATAATTCAAATTCAAATAATAAAATAAATAATATTAAAAATATATTAAAATCTCATCAAGATCATCGGCATCAGCAACAATTTCAACAAGAACAACAGACCAATAATTTAAATAAAGAAAAATTTATATGGAAAACAATTTATACAATATTAAAATGTCATCATTACTTTATAAATTTTCATTTTAATTCAATTATATTTAAATTATTATTATTATCGTTTCAATATATTTTACAAAAACTTTTAATATTTTGTAAACAATTCTATAAAATTTTAAAAATAATAATATTTTCTTTTATAAAATTTGAAAAATATTTGAACTCTCATGATAATATTCTTACAATTTATAATAATAAATTTCTTCAATTTATCAATATGACAAATTTTCAACGAATAATAAGAATTTATTTCAATTATTACAAAATATTTTTTAAAATTTTACATAAAAATTTCACATTATCTAAAATGTTACAAAAATTATTTAAAAGTTTTACCTTTCGAAACCATAATTACAAGAAGAAGAGGTACAATAATCATAATAATGACAATTATAGTAATAATAATAACAATGAAAAGGATATACAAAGGATGAAATCTTCTAAGGATATTATTTTAAGAATAACAAATAAAATTAGTAGAACATCCAAGAATAATATTATAATTTCAATGTGTTACAATCAATATCAAAAAATAATATTGGAAAAATTAATAATAAATCTCCGTAAATATTTTAACGCCTTAATATATGCAATTTATTTTAATAAAAAAATACATCAAATGAAAATATTTTGCATTCAAATCATTTTAAAAATAAAGAAATTTTTAATGTATAAAAAATTTTTATTAATAAAATTTTATTATAATTTAACATTATTATTTAAAAATTTTATAAAAGAATCATTTAAATTTTATAATAAATATTTTGATAAAGTGATAATAGTAAAAATAATTAAAATGATCAAAAGAACTATTAAAAAAATATTTTATAAAATTATTAATGGGTGGTCATTTAAAATTATTTATTATGGTGCTAAATTAATAATAAATAAAATTTATTTTATTAATATTTATTTAAAAATTATTAAATATTCCTTTAATATAATTAATTTGAAATATTATAATTTTTATTTAAAATATTCATTAATATTTTATGAATTAATTATTAAATTCAATTCAAAAAATTTATTTCAATATTTACGAATATCGAAAAAGGACACTTTCAATTCTTTGAATTTTAAAATTTTGACAAATTTTAAATACTGGTGGAAAAATATATTCTTATTATGGTGGTTTAAATTATCAATTTTAATATTTTATTTTACAAAATCATTTTTTAATAATTTTAAAATAATAGCTGTTAATATTTTTAATAAAATATTTCTTTATAAAAAATATCTTAATAATTTCAAGGATAAAATTATTTTAAATAAAAAAAATAGTATAAAAACTGTAACAGCTGTAACAATTAATAATAATAATATTAATTATAATAAAAATAATTGGTTTAATAATAAAAAGAATATAAGAAAAACAGAATTAAATATAAAATTAAATAATTCTATAATTGTTAAAAATACAAAAATTCTATTTAATATTATAAAATCATTTAAAATTTCAATTAATTTTATAAAAGTTTTATTAACAATATTATTGGCAACATCTGTACCACAATCTTCATATTCATTTCATCATAATATAAAATATAGTATGAATGTTGTTAAAACAAAATATGGTCCAATTAGAGGTATTATTATAAGATCAGAACCATTAGTTGAGGCATATCTTGGTGTACCATTTGCATCACCGCCAGTTGGTGGTCTAAGGTATGTTTAAAAAAAAATTTTTTTTTTCTTCTTAATTTATTTTTTTTTTTTTTTAATTATACTTGAAGTAAAAAGTTTCAGAAGATTTAATTATAATAATGTGGAGTACGACCTATTATGTTGAATAATAAAATTTATTATTATATAAAATTCATTTTATTAAATTACATATAATAAGTATGGCAAGGTAAAAACTGATTGTTTTTTTTATTATTTTATAAAAGTTTTGAGTTTCAAAACTAAATATAAATTTAAAAGTTTTAAAAGAATTCTTAAATACTTTATATTAAAATTAATAATATCCTAATTAGATATTTTACAAAATTATATAAGAATTTTGTAATATGTATGTATGCTAATTAGGAGTAAAATTTTCAGACAATGTAAACTTATTTTTTCTTAAAACATTATTTTTAAAGAATTCAAACTACAAGATTATAATATCGTAGTTTACTATTATAAAGTTTACTATAGGGAAAATTCAATAGTGTAGGTATCAACATAATATAAGAAATTTTCATCAGTAAGATTTAAATGCTAATTAAATAGCTATGAGTATATTGTATACAGAAATTTTTGCCAACATAGTAAGCAAATTAACTGGCAAAGAATATATACGGGCTGATAGCGTGTTATTTACAACATTGTTTTATAATTTCTTAAAATTTGAATGTATTCATCAAATAATTTTGTTATTTAAATTTAAAAGAGAATAGAAAAAAATATTTTATAAAGGATCAGAAAAATCAATGTTTATATTACAGAAATTTTAAAAATTATCGATTACATGGATTTTAGGTTTAATTAATTATTTAGGATTTTTTTATTAATTAATTTCTAGAACGTAATAATTAAGTATTTTTGGTAAACTGCCTATGAATCTTTATTACCAATTTTTCAAATTCTTTTTCTAACAATATTTAGTCAAATTCTAGCTCGCAAATTGCATTTCGGGAAAATTAAATTCAAAAAATATTGCTTATTTCTGAATATTTGTGGAAGAATCCTTATTATTATTAAAATTAAGATTGCTTGCAAATATTTCTGCATTGTAAAATATTAAAATACCTAACTCAATAACAAAGGTGATAAATCATTAATTTTACACCTAATATTTATAAAATTTTTTATTGCTTATTGGGGTGTTATAAATTGAATGACCTATGAATGACACTGGCACAGAGGTTTTTCATTGTTAAAAGTGTTAAACAACACCTTTAGGACATAATTACAAAACTCATTACAATGTTAATTAATTCTTATTTAATTGATAAGATTCCCTTATGCACATTATTTTAAAACATTAGCGATTTTAATTGCTTTAAAATATTTGTTTTTATTTATGTAGGTATATGCCACCAGTAACACCATCAACATGGCAAAATACAAAATTAGCTGATCGTTTTTCACCAGTTTGTCCTCAATCTGTACCAATGCCACCAAATGGTCCAGAAGCTTTACTTGAAGTGCCTAGAGGACGTTTAGCACAATTACGACGTTTATTACCATTATTAACAAATCAATCAGAAGATTGTTTATATTTAAATTTATATGTACCGAGAGCATTAAATCCCGGTTCAGCATCACCACCATCACCAACTAATTACGGAGGTAAGTCTTTTATACAAAAAAATAAAATAAATTAATTAATTTTTTATTAAAATTTTTATGTAACAAAAATTTAAAATAGATTAAAAGATGATAAAATAAAAATAAAATTTTAAGAACATTTCAACAATTTTTATATTAATTATCCTTTTTTAAACTGAATTTGCATGAAAATTTTGTGAAACAGCAACAAAAAAAAATTTATAAGAAAAATTAAAAGTGTTAAATGAAAAATGATTGATTTACTTTTTCTCAGTATAAAAACGAAGCAAAAATTCAGAAATTCTTGTCAAAACACAACAATAAATAAAAAATTTCAGAAAATCAAAAGGAAAGAAATCAAATTAATGAAAAGTTCAATGTTCTCAAGATCTCTTTTTCCATAGTAAAAATCACAAAATCAATCAAAAACAATTAGATTAAAAAAGTTGTAACAATCTAATTTTCAATTTTTCTTGTGGTGGAAAATTTTTCCTTCTATTACCCTTCTTATACGTTAAGAATATTAAGATCCTTTTCTTCTATGTCTTATAGTCTATGTATTCAAAATTATTATTGTCAGAAAAAAAGGAGACGTTTTGTTCATTTTTTATCCTTTGTTACACAAAAAAAAGCGCGTTTACAAATTTTTTTCGATTTTGTTTTTTTTTTATGTTTTTTGTTGATTTTCCATCATAAATTTTTCGCTTTATCATTAATTCTTATTATTAAGACATGACTATTTTCAATTAAAATGGTCTATATCTAGAAAAAGTGGAAGACAAAGTAATCATTACAATAACAAAAAAAAAAAATTTTTTTTTTTTGAATTCTCGATGATGAATTTATCACAAGAATTAGACAATGAATCTTTTTCATTGTTCATCGATAAACAAACAAAATTTCAATTAAATTGTTAGAAAATTCCTTTATTATTTAAAATTATAATGTTAACTTACATTTTCATAATATTCATAGGTATACTAAGCATAATACCTTGTTAACTGAACCTTATTATACTTTAAACTTTTGTATTTTGTTGTCTAAGATAACATTATCGTTATTATTATGTGTATACCCTATGCATAACACAATTAATCTTAAAAGGTTCTTTTATAGCATTTTCCAAAAATATATGAAAGGGCATTGTAATAATTATAATTAAAATTCATACATAATTATAAAGATGACAATATACAATGCCATAATTGCATTGTTATACAACAAATTTACAATGTAATACTAAAAATGATAAAAGATGAATTTATAATTAATAGTAAAGAATCTTTTTTTTTTGTTTTTGGAAAATTTCATTGAATAAAATAATATGTATGACATTTTATTCTCAATTAATAATTTAATTCTTTGATTAAAGACTATAACTGCATATTATACAATAAAAGTAATGATTAATATTTTCTGACATTGGATTTTCTGTAATAAAGCAATTATATACAGTGATGAAAATTAATTCATTTTGAATTAATTTTTTTTTTTTTATAAAAATTGAAGGTTATTTTATATTATTAATGAAAAATTAAAACGTGAAAGCTTTAAATAAAGTAGATGTAGTTAAAAGAATAAAGGAGAAGGCAAAATATTTCCAAGAACTAAATATAAAAAATTCAGATTCCATTGAAATCGTATATGTAATATTATATATACATGTGTAGTATACAAATATATAGGTGTTTGTAATCAGTTCAAGAAGAACTTTTAAAAGTAGAAAATTTTTTTTTAGAATCTCATGCCTTACAGTGATAAGTTCCGAACAAGAATTTGTACATAACATAATCAGCCCTATTATAAATTCCACTCGTGGAATCCTACGAACTATGAACTCAGCTACGACGTAGACTTTTGAATTATCACAAATTTCATTCGTAGAAATTATGAATTAGGAATGGCAGCATAAATTTTCGGACTATCAATATCAGCATTTTGTTTTAAAATTTTTACTTATATATAAATTGTTGTTGCGATTTGAGCATACCACTTTCATACTCATGAAAGTTTTAAAGTTTTTTTTGTTTTTGAATATTTTGGAAATATTGGAAAAAATTTGTTTAATCAAATCGGAATTCATTTCCCATCATGGTGTTGCTGCATCAGAGGAAGAAGAACACAGAGGCTTTTTAATTTTAGAGAAAAATTAAAAACGACCGCCTTATTTAAATTGCTTTCTTATTACGAAGATTCAGAGTAGAATTTTAGTAATTCGGAATTGACAATATGATATTCGTAAACTTTCGAATTTACGGGCTGCGAAGATAATTCATGATAGAGCTGAAATTCATTTTAGGGCTACAAACGAAATTCTTGACATTTTCAATATTTGATTTTAAGAATTTTCTTGTATTTCGTCTCAGGATTTACTTTGCAAGGTTATTTTTGAAACAGTTTCTGCACAAAAATAGTTTTCTACTAAAAGTTCACCAAAAACTTGTAACTGGCACCCTGAGTAACTGCATTTAATAACTTTTGATTTTGATCGAAGTTGGGTTAACAATTTGTATGTATTTTACATGCGAAAAATGCCAACTTTAAATTATTAATAATATTATTAACCAAAGCTTACTTTATTCAAGTATTCAATTTCTATAGGGTCTAGAAAATATTGTTATATGCATACTTATTTAAACAATATGTATGCAAACTAAAAGTCCCTATATGAGTTTTTTTCGGTTTATTATTAGGTCAAGATTCCGGAATATCGATTTCCTTAAATGATAATTAGCTGTTACCATTTTGTAGACCTGAGAAATCCAATTTATTCAACAAGTTCAATTTAATTTAAATTTCATTTATGAAAATTTTCTACCAATATTATTTTCAATTATTTTTTTTTTTCATAAATCGTTTCGTCTTAAAAGTAAGAACGCGAGGAAAAAAGGCATGTCCAATCACTCATTACAATAATGCTTATATGTATAATTAATATTATTATTTTTTATATTCTATAATTAATGTCATATAATATTATTATTATACAAAACGAAGCAAAAAAAAGTAATTGACAATGACAACGACAGTGATGACGATCACGGTAGCCTAGAAAAACCAAAAAAATAGCACCCAAAACAATAAAAATAAATTTTATAATAATGCATAAGTATAAAATGTATGTGGATGCACATTTTTCTGATGCATTATCCTTGTTATTGCTGTCGTTTTCAGGAAAATATTTTAATAGCGAAATGATGCACAAAAAAAAACGAAACTAAAATTTTTTTTTTTTTATAATAGGCAATGTTCATTTCCTCATTTATTATCATAAAATATTATTTTTATAACATTTTTAGTAAAGAATATTTTTTTGTGTGTTATAATAAATGCATATTACAGCTCATGCATATCTACACAATATTATCTGCATACATAATGTGTATAGATCTATAAATTAATTTCATGTCAAAGAAAATATAAAAATCAAAATAACAAAAAATAAAAAGAAACCAATGAGAAAGTTTATACAATCGTTATCCTTGAAATTTTTTATGCTTTATTGTGCATAATGTACAAAAACAAAATATAATATTATAGTAGTAAATGAATGTAATGATAAAAAAAATTCGAAAATATATAGCAAAAAAAAAACTTTCAGGCATTTATTATTATTATTATTATTATTATTAAATGTGAAGGATATTTTAAAAGGACTTTACGCTAAATAATAAATAACCTATATTCAGAGAAGTATACAGCATCTACATGCATACTATTATTATATCACACTAATATTGGTTGTAAACAAAGATTTTTTCATGGAAAACAAGTGAGTACAATAAAAATAATATAAAATTGATTTTCTGTATATGAAAGGGTAATTAAATCAAAAAAATTATATTGTGTCTTAAGAATATTTTTATAATAACAATTAAATTTTCTTCATTCATTAAATACAGTAAATCGTGTGTTTAATTAAAGAAAATTTAAAAAAAAATTTTACTGCAATTTTGTTTGAAAAATATTTGGGAATTCTATTCTTTAAACTAAGGCGGTCTATAAAATACGATTCAGCCAGCTCATTGGCTGTTTTTATTAATACTGCTAAAAAAAATTTGGACAAAATTTTATACCAAATTCAAGTTAATAATAATAAAAATGAATGCAACTAATGACTGTAAATTTACTTGTAAATGGCACAACTGAGAGTTATGTAACTATGTGTCATTACTATAGTATATAAGTGAAGCAATAAAATTATTTACTCAATTAGAATTTTAAATTAAGAGAAAGCCATATAACAAGATTAATATATAGCCTTTGAATTTTGCTGATTTAAACTGGCTTATTATTTCCCTTATGTAAAAATCTTTATATTATTATTTTTTTTAACTCGCACCTGTTTTAAGATTAATGTCAAGAAAGAGATAATGTTAAACTGGACCGAAAAGTTTTACTAAAATTTTATTATTTTAATGAAATAAAATAGAAGTAATAGAAGTAGTATGTTTCTTCATAGACATTTATGCATTATGAATTCATAAATGCACTCCAGGAATTTAAGGAACATTAAAACACTATAAAAATTATTTTCAAGCTTTTCCATAAATATTTGATTTACTGTATTATGATTTTAGATTCAAGAAAATTTTGAAAATAGTGAAAAGAGAACGTTGAAAAAAATTAATCAAAGAAATGAGAAGAAAATTTTAATAAGAAAAACAGAACTATATATATATATATAAGAATATGTAGAAGAGAACAAAAGCCAAGGAACAGAGAATGAATAATAAGAAACACATTTTCCATTATCCTTTTTAACTACTATGTACAGTTGTTGTATGCATATTTAATGCTTTTTTTTTTAATTTTTGTTGAGTTGTCGTGCTCTTGCATTGAATATCAATTAAATTAAGAAAAATTAAGCTGAATAATAAGACTGACAACTAAGAAATTCTACTTGTTTCACTTCTATGAACAAATTAGTTTATGCAAAGTATTAAAAATATGCAAAGAAAAAAAAAATATGTCGAAGAATTTTTTTTTTTTAATTAATGAAAGTTTTCAATGATTTTTAA